CTTCCTGGGTGCTGTGTGCAAGTTACTGATTGCTTCTTGGTGGAACCTAGCCAAACCTAAAAACTTCAGATTATCCATGGGATTTGGGCTAAAATCCCTCTTAGATATAAATGTCACAATTCTATTGTATTACAAGCTGCGTGATGTTAATAGCACCAGACACGTAGCATTTTATTCATTACTTGTATAAATTTTTGCAAAAGCTTGCAATTCTAATTTAGTAACAAGTTGAATGTGTTTTTGTCAAAGAAGAAGAGGTAAAGCTTGTATTTACACGTATAGGAATAAAATGAGTAGGTCTGCTTTAAGATGTGCAGTGCTCTCTGCTTACACAGCTGCACCTTACCAATTCCCCATGTTTCAGACTTAGCTTTCTGTATCTACAGATAACTTTGTGGAAAACTTAATCAGTAACTTCAGGTCTCTGATGTGCCACTTGTACCCATTCTGTTCAAGGAAGCTCTGAAATTTTTTGTTTTATTATTTAAGCATTATTATTTATTATTTAATTCTTCCTGGTGTTAATTGTTTTATACACTACACTTCCAAAATAAATTGTAAGCCAGAGTTGTCGGTTGATGATGCAGACTAAAAAACTGATGCAGACTAAAATTTTTGTGACCAAGATAAAGCTAGTGAAGCCCCCAAAATATCCTGATCCAATTCATCACACAGCTGCACAAATACTGGTGCATTGTTGGTGCCATGGAGAGAGGTGGGAAACATGCCAATGAAAGATGGTAACAGTGGAAAGGTTAGGAGGACTCAGTCAACAGATTCTGACAGCAAAACAGAAACTCAGGCTACAAGAGACAAGTGTTGAGGTTTAAAACATCCCCCTAATTTAGGAGCACATCCAACTGGTCAAGGCAATTAATGGCATTTCACTTAACAAAATTTTTGTAAGCAGTGACTCCTCCAGGGAACAAGTTTTTGGGAATTCTGAATCTCCTAGGAATTCCTACCTGGATGCTGATGAGTTTTTGGTTTTGCCCATTACAATTGCCACTTTGCAATTTGGGTTTCCAGCACCTTAAAAAAAGTGGCAAACACAAAAACTGTTTTTAGTATAAAATCTCAATGTCAAATCAAATGAAGTTTCATAATAAACCCTACTCCCTTCCTTTTGTGAGGCAGAAAATGCAATCTACCCCTGTGTTTATCTTCTGAATATCACACTGAAACAAAACACATATTAATACTTAACATGTAAAAGGGATCTGACTTGTGGGAAGGGGAACATGAAAAGCCAAACGTTCAAACCCTCCAGGTTCATCACCTATTCCTGTGAAAAGGGAACAAGAAGGTACTTGAAATGGAATCTGATTACTTCAGTCTCCATTTCAGCTGAGCAAATAAGTGTGATACAACAGCACATCTATCAAGGTGACATGCTGCCATTTCAAAAGTAAAATTGTAAAAAAACTTTTTCAACTTATAAAGACTGGAGGGTCTATGTGGGAATGAAACACCAATCGCCCTTTAATTATGCAGAGAAGGCTATCAAAGGGTTACTATGATAACTTTGCTACTACTTCAGCAGAGCTTCTCTGGAATGCAGAATTTCTCCCTCTTTACAAAAATAATTTTAGATTGCACTTTGAAGAAAGATCTGAGTGAAAATTGTTACCTGAAAATAGCCTGCTAGCATTTCAAGCCATTCATAACATTACTTGAGATGTTTCTTATTATGGACATATTTATTAAGCCTTTGTAGCATAAAGACAGCACTTTAATGTACTAGTTCTGAAGAAGATTCTACCATTGATTAAAATAACATTTCTATGATCCTTAATCCTTCCTGTCTTTTTCTTTAAAGGTTTCTTAGTACCAAAGGATGCTGTCATTCCTTTCAAAGCCTCCCAGAAACAATAAAGCTAGGGAAAATACCTCATGGGTATAGCAATCAGTAATTTTTTTGTGCAGATGACAAGCTTTGTAGAGATTCAGTTCAAGGCTTGATCTGTAGCAGCTTGGCTTTGTTCTGATGTTAGAAGCAAATACAACTTTATGACTTCTCTGGCAGCTGTTCTTACAAAGCTTGGGAGACTCTGGTCTGGACAATGCAACCACCTGGCTTTGAGCTGAGCCACTTCCTCCTACAGCCACTGTGATGGGAAGTGGGAGAGAGATGTATTTAATTGTGATGAACACTGCCTGTTTGGAGGGCCAGACTGCCAGATGTTTACTTTCCTCTTTTGCAAAATGGTATTCAGCCACTGTCTCTAGAGGGGGCTTACAGAGTGGCCCATGAGGTGTACAATGCCAACAAGCTAAAAATCCCCGTGAAAAGCTTTGGGCAGGGGCATAAATCAACTTGGTGAAAAAACAAAACAAAACAAAACAAACTGGATCCCAAACAATTGGCTCACTTGGGCAACTGCAACAAGCAGCTGATCAACCCCAAATGACCTCAACATATTCTTTGCCAGGTACTATCTTGCACAGGGAAATGTCACCCCTGCACAAGGGGTATTTGACTCTTCTCCTTTTCAATGGAAGGTAAAGAATTGCACAACTGCTATTTTCTAAAACAGACCTATGTTCAAGTGAGGTTTACAACAAAAGATATTTTGACTTTCTGGAAACTCCTGAAAAACTGTTTTGTAAACAATCCTCAATCTCTGCTTCAAAACAAAGAGCAAACTTAACCATGTTGTATGAAAAAACAACCCAAAAACACTCACAGAACCTCAGAAGAAGCCTTCATGTTGAACTCAGCAAGGAGTTCACTGAGAGCTGGACATCTGGTTAGATATTCTAAATCATTTGTACACATTTCTGGAAGGCAAATGAATACCTCCAGATTCCTGGCCCTTCCACTCCTTAGAGTCTGAAGTCCTGAAAAACTAAAATAAATTTTATGTCACTTCAACCCATAAAAGACAGAAAAAAAGTTCTGGTGTAATGCAAGACTCTGAAAAGCTCCAGTGCTTTGGATGGAATGCAAACAGCCTGAATGGAATAAACATCCCTTTTGAAAATGACATTTTCACATCACTTACAGAATTCAAAGATATTGCTGGAGGATGGAGAGGAAGAGTCAGAGAAGCCAATTATTTTGGTAGGAGTTAGAAGTAGTTTTAGAAAGAAAACTCACAATTGAAGAAACACTAGATATTTCAGAAGGTCAGTTTTAATCATATTCCCATACTGATGAGCTTTCAATAAAGTTTTCAATGTATATGACTGCACAAACCAAAACTTTTAGACCATAATGCTGCTACACTGGTAAACATCTTCGGTTTAACTAACTTCTTATACTTTTGAACTCTTCATAGCACGTAGGGTAGATGGCAGCGTGGTAATGATTGTTGGAATGTGGGAGTCTCTTGATGGAGAAAAGGGACACACACAGGCACATCCCACCAAGAGCCTACAGTAATTTCTACCCACTAGCATATTGTATTCCAAAGTTTTATCTCAACTTTCTCCAGATAACAGTGCAGGCAGCTGGTTCATGGAGAGCAAAGACTATGCTGTAGCTGCAAGCAAACATGCAATGCTGGGGCTGTGCAGCTGCAAGGGCTTTGCAGTCCTGCCACTGAATGTGGCTGCTGGTCACTCCCAGCTGGAGCTCACAGGCTCTGATGGCAGCAGTGAGAGAAGCTGATCTGCTTAGGAATGTTTTTTTCCTTGCCTTTATGCCACTCTCACACAGCCATAAGTGTTTTTACTTAGGGAAGACCCATTTTGTACTCACTCTTACTTACTAAATAAGTTTTGTTATTTTTGACCGTACTGAAATACACACATGACAATATTATTTCTTTACTCTGACTGGTCCTCCGTGCATCCCTGAGAAATTACAAGGAGCTGAGGAACTGCAATAAGCAGGGCAGGATTCACATGAATGGCCTTCCTACAGCCTGCCCACAGAACCTCTTGGGCACTTTTGCAGGCAACACAAAATTCCCTGGGAGCATTCTCAGCTCTAGCCTGATTATTCCATCTTGCTGGAGACCCTATTGATACAAAGCCTATCCAGAACTGAAAGTTTCATTTGTTTTAAAGAGATATAGCTCAGGCCTCAAAGCCATGACATGATCTATGAGGAGAGGGCTGGGAAGGAGCTCAAGCATCTTATCTGCCACTGTGAAGAGCATCACTGAAGTACTGTGATGACTCAAGATGAAAGCATTGCAAAAATATGCACAAATATTGTGGCACTGTTCTTCTAGACTGTAATTCCTTTCCCAGCCCACTTTGTCGTTCTGAAACAAAATATAGCATGTGGAAAACATCTGCCCATTACATTCTTAGCTGCCCATTTTTAAGAACCTTTCGTTTCACATATTTCAAAACTATTTAAGTACAGACAGAAGGTTAATCCAGTCATGGCAGGTGTACCAGAGTGCCAAAAACCCCCAGAATCTGACCTCTGGTCTTCTTAATATGTCTCTCTGTTGCTGGGCTTTAATATTGCATTTACTGAAGCTCACTAGGTTGTTATCCAATCCAGGATAATTCAAACAGGTCACTAGTTTGATTATGAGATAGACTGGCAACAGTCAAGCCCCTGAGAACTCTTCCCCCAGGATGCAGGACTATCTGCTTTTACTCTGGTTGACAATTTGCTACTTGCCTTCACATATTTTCCTTACCATCTTTCTGGTTTCAGACACAGAAAAAACCCCTTTCCCCAACCTCAAACAAAAAGTAACAAAAAGCAACTCATATTTCTATTGTATCCCCTAAAAAGTTATGTTAAGGAAGGGATGTAAGGATCCCTTAAAACTTTATACAGTCAGCCATCAAAAGCGCAGTACTGTCCTGAGGAAAGAATAAGTGACTCCCTGTGGTGTCTGAGGCAGTATCTCAGCCCCAGATGCACCTCCTTTCTACCCTTTTCTCCTTTTTAATGTGTTGTTTGATAAAAGCCTCTTGATGATGAAAAAATTTGGACTTCCAGGAATAAAACCACAAACAATAAAGAGAAGCAGTTAGAGTGTCCTGACCTTCCAAAGAGCAGTCATAGTCTGTTGGAATAGGAAGGAATGTAGGAAGTGTACATGCTCAACACAAGAAGAGTCTCTAGGAAAGCACAGTTTTTAAAAGTATTTTTTTTAAACTGTCAAGTCAAAATGAAAGTGCAACGGACTTCCACATGAGGGTGTGGTGTTTGAAGACAAAATGCAATCTGTCAGAGCAATTCAGATCACTTCACTGAGGCACGTCTCAGTTGCAGTACCTGCTACTCGTCTGCCGACAAAAGGTTAGTTTTGTTTTAATCCTTACTGCTCTACATATTGGATGCTATCTTCTTTGCATACATTTACTCTTAGTTAAGTTGGCTTTACAGAGAGATATCATTTCACAAAGGCATGTCTCCTTTCCAGAATCAAAATTAGATTTGCTCAGGAGCAGGACAGAATACTGCTTAATTTATCAGAGGAAAAAACCTGTCTGTTTAAACTAGGGATATTGATTCAATTCACCATAACTCATACAATCCCACATCAAGTTTAAACACACAGAAACACTGAATTTCTATCTGACTGGAAGGCTGACATAATTCTGCAAGAAAATATGTCATTGCAGATTTAATATATTTATTAGTATACCTCCTAGAAAACACTATTTGCAAAACCAGTAGCTTCTGAGCTGTTTGGGTACTTGTGGGCACTTTGTACATGATAAAATTCCTTTCTGTCATAATATTCTGAGAAGCTCCAGCTGGAAGATGCAGTGTACCCACAGCAATCTGCTTCTTTAAGAAATTCCACATGGGCATGGCTCACTGTGTGGGATGGTGACTAAACTAAGTTTTTCCACCACTCTTCAGCGCCCGACTCCCATGGGACTGCTTGGCTGTTTGCAATGGGCACATGCACGTGTGCCTGAGAAACAGCCCTACCAGGAAAAACAAATGTAAACAGGTATGGGAGCCAAAACATTTCAGATAATTTTGTTTCTGTTGTAAACTCAGGGCAGACAAAAGCTTATCAGGCAGCGGAGCAGAGTCACAGCCAACCTGCTTTGTCATACACAGACTTTTAAAGTTTTCCCTGAAATGTTTACTGGTTTGCTTTCAAGTAAATTTGCCAGTGATCCAATTTGATTAAATGTTCTGTATTAAGTCTTTTAAGACCACAACGAAATCTTTTCATTTAACTTCTATTTTTCCTCAAATCTCAGCTAAATGGATTAAACTCTTGGTGCTGCAGTTTTCCTTCTACTAAAAAAAAAAAAAAATTATTTTGCTGTTGATAATTAAATCTCTCCTCAAAGTACTACAAAGCTGCAAAAGATTACTGCTTCTGGAAAATCCTGCTAACAAAGCTTTTTAGGCATAGAACAGACATCCCTTTGCCAAAGCGTGAAGTAGAGCGACTGTGCTTTTCCATTCTGCACATCTCATTAAGGCAACAATAAAGAACAGATTGCAAGACTTAAAAAGGAGTAATAATTTTTTAAAGTTTGATGGGGAATGTTTTGAAATGTTAACAGAATAATACAACAAAGTCATTAAAGATGGAGCCAAACCAGATAGTTAATTTCAAACTAATACACTTTCAAAAAAAACTTGGCTAGAAAAATCATGGAAAAATGAACAAAAATTAAAATTATTATTTTCTCTCTATTTAATTAGTCTGCATTCCTTATTATGAGATCAATCAGCAACTTACTTTTTCCTAAAAAAACTTTAAGAGACACTTGGCAGCCCTTCATTTAAACAATTGTCTAAGAAACAGAAATGGTATTTGCATTTTTCTTTCAGGCTTGAAAAAACCAAATCGTAGCTCTGGAGCAGAATATCAGATAATGATCTGCTTCAGCAATACTGACCTCAAATTCTGAACACTGCATATGATGACAAAATGGGGATATATTTTTCATTCTCACCTGATCTTTGCTACTGCTTCTAAGAAACCTTAATCCCATTTATTACAAGGGAACAGAGTACTGCAGGACTGTATTTTACAACAGACAGAATTTCAGCACATTAGTCACTGAACACAGTTGCAGGAAAAGAAGAAAATAATGCAGGACATGAACTTGCTTCAGACGCAATCTGAAGATACAAATACTTAATCTTCAACCTTAAGCTGGCAGTGGGAAGCCAGCCTCAGTGTTTACAGAGTAAATCTATCATGAGATTGTATTTGAAAAACCAGCAGAGTTTGGAGCTGTTTGGGTACTTGTGGTCAGTTTGTATGTGATAAATTTCCTTTCTGTTTTAACATCCTGAGAAGCATCCAGAAGATGCAGTGTACCCACAGCAATCTGCTTCTGTAAGAAATTCCACCTGGGCATGGCTTGCTTTGTGGGATGGAGACTAAATTAAGCTTGCTCTCCTGCAGTTCAGCAACTAACCCCCTGCTGTGCTTTTTGTAATGGGCATATACAGTGTACCCGAGAAACAAACAAAAACACTTTCCTTGAACTATATTCATATCCAAAATTTGTCAAAATTTATGACAGGAGGCAGCTGCTTGTCTCAGCTGTAATCTGTTCATATTCCTTATACACCTAATTGTAACAGCATTTACAGCATTCAGCTGGTATTCCTTTGCTTTGCAGAGGCTGGAGAGGGGAAGGTGCAATTCCAACCCCATAAAGGTAGAGACAGAGTTATGTGCAATGGAATATTGTCAAACATAACGCAGCCGGAGCAGTTAATGCGATGATGGCTCCTCGACTCAAATGCGAAAATCAGTGAGGGGTACTCCAAGCATTTTACAATCTCAAATGCTAAGGGTAAGGAAAGCATTTCAATTTAATCAATTTTATAAGTACTGCCCACACTGATGTTCTCAGTTACCCATTTCACGTGAGAACTTGAGATAGTCTGCTCTGCTTCTGTTACTGTCTAGCTTCCCTTTGATTATTCACAAATGTATTCTGAATATCCAAGTTCCTTAAATTTGAGATGTATAACCAGCCCTGAAGAAGGGTTTTAGGTTTCAACAGAAATTTTAGAAGTTTTAAATCTGATATTACTTCTTTAGTGTTCCCTTCTCCCCACTTTTTTGTGTCTTGTAGCTTTGCACGGTCTGAGATATGAATAACTCAACAGATTACTGGATTGAAGATGAGGAGGATGATCTCAACCCTCTTATAGATTACAATACCTATGAGCTTCTCTGTGAAAAAGGTGATGTGAGAAATTTCAGGAAATTATTCCTCCCAGTGTTCTATGCACTTGCTTTCACGGTTGGAGTGGCTGGAAACTCATTAGTGGTTGCAATTTATGCCTACTGCAAGAAACCCAAGACCAAGACAGACGTGTACATCATGCACCTTGCCATCGCTGATCTGCTCCTGCTCTTCACCCTCCCTTTTTGGGCTGCAAATGCAGTGCAGGGATGGGAACTTGGAAACCCGATGTGCAAGCTCACTTCTTCTCTGTACACCATGAATTTCAGCTCCAGCATGCTGTTCCTGGCCTGTATCAGCGTGGATAGATACAGGGCCACTTCTGACTCCCAGGGCCACAGAAGAGTTGGCAAACACTGCAGTGTTACCTGCATCTGTGTCTGGCTGGCTGCCACTTTCCTCAGTATCCCAGAGCTGATATTTAATCAAGTCAAGAAACATAATGAGAGGAACGAATGCCTTCCCGTATTTCCGATGAACATGGAAACACTCTTAAAATCAACCATTCAAATCCTGGAAATTATCCTGGAATTTCTGCTTCCTTTCCTAGTAATGCTGATCTGCTATTCTGCTACTGCTTGGGCAATCTTTAGGTCTGCAAATGTTAAGAAGTCCAGGCCTTTCAAGGTTCTGCTGGCAGTAGTGGCTACTTTCATTGTCACCCAGCTACCCTACAACATTGTGAAGCTGTGGCGAGCCATAGACATCATCTACATGTTGGTTACAGACTGCCACACCAGTAAAATCATGGATGTGGCACTCCAGGTCACCAAGAGCATCGCTTTGTCCCACGCCTGCCTCAACCCTCTCCTCTACGCCTTCCTGGGCGCCTCTTTCAAAATGCACATCATGAAAATCGCAAAAAATTATGGGTACTGGAGAAGACAACAGCAGAATGGAAGACCTGAGGAAATTTCTATGAATTATGAAGACCCTACTGAAGAAACAACCAGTTTCACTATATAGGCCCTCTATTGCTTCTATCATCTTATATAACCAAGGGAACTGTTACCTAATTCCAGCAATTCCAGGGGGTATTGCTTCTACAGCTGTTTCTCTGCAAGTCAGCTTTCAGAAGAATTTCTGAACTTGCCAATACACCACAAAGCACTTCAAAGTGGAATGTGTTTATCAGAATCAAGGAAGAACTGAATACTGAAACCCCTAGAAACAACCTGAGATATTTACTAAAAAACATCAATGAACTCAAACAAAATAAACCCACCACAACAAAACCCAAATTTCAAAGTGTCACAGTACTAGGCAATTAAGTAACTGCTATTGTAAATCTTTTGCCAGGCCATCATATTTATTCATCCTTCCCAACAAGTAACTATGTAATGAACAACCTGTACATGTGATTAAAACAGAGAAAAAAAAACTATCACCAATCAAACAACAGGAACCTTTGTACCAGAGGTTAATAGTTTTGTGTTTCTCCAACTATTTTGTAAAACTTTAGAACTTTTGCCTAACAGTTCAGCTCCATTTCTCAACTCAACTATCATTCCATAGATATCCTTGCAGATTGAAATTAAGTACAAGCTTATGGTTGAGAATTGAGAGGGAGAAATAGGAGGGAAAAGCCTTGTGTTTCTACAAATGTATAGCAACAACAACATCCTCCACAAAAACACCCCAGCAACTCCTTTTCTATAACTACAGAAAAAAATACCTGTCATCTCTTCTCTTCTGCTCACCCTAAACTTCAACAAGACCAGTGCTCTAGGGGTGGCTGGCTTATTCTAGATTTTTATAAACGTAGTAAAAAGTTCAGGTTATCTTCAGATACAAGGCCTGGATTTTTTATTTAGAATTGTTAAAATTAATCAAGCACTGCAATAACTGTATCTGCTAAAATATATGAAAATACAATAAAATCAAAGAATAGAAAAAGTGCACAGGTTTTTCTTTTTTCTTATCTTTGTTTTTGTTTTGTTTTAGTAGGTACTGACATCTCTCACCACAGGCATTTACCAACCAGCAAATGGGAGAGGCCTTGCTTGACAAAAGAGAGAGGTTCTCATTCCATATGGAGCTTATGGATTCACAGATCTTACACAGAGAGGTACCAAGGCCATCCCCTGACACAGCGTTGGCAGGGATTCCAGGAAAACAGCAGTTTTCCATGAGTCACTGGAAGCATTTCAAACATACTGACATGCTAGATTAGCTTTCAAAATGAAGAAGTGGCGTTACAGCATACTGCCCTTGTCTTCAAACATCCTGTGGGCTCTGACAAAATGTCTCATCTACAGATTAGGAAAGACAAGAATCTCTCATTTTTAGATACCATTCCCAATTACAAAATTATGGACTGGAACAAAAAGCTCTAAAATGAAAGACAAGAAACAACAGTAGCATAAACAAGACATGAGCCTCTTCTCCCTGTTTGGATGACAAAAGCTTACAGAATGTCTGCCCAGAATGTTTTAAGAAATACTAGGGCATGAACAGGTAAGTCAGAAGTGCCTGACCGGTTTTTCTACACGTACACCATAAATCTGACCTATTTAAGCCATACTGGATTTACTGTACACATGCAGAGCATAATAAGAAATCCCACTTTTTTCATGAAGTAACTAACTCCTTGCATTTGTGATTTATGACTCGTCTTCACAAATACAGAGTGACATTCTGACCAGTCTGCCAGGCTTCTGGAATTCCCAAACATCCAAGATTTAATGTCCCAACTTTTGTCCCAGAAGTTAAAAAACCCCAACCAAAACCAAGACCAACAACAAAAAAAAATAAACCTTCCCAGCCAGTCAGAAAAAGAGACTAATACAGAGCCAAATGAACAAGTTTCTCAAACTTCTTGGAATTGCAGTGCTTTTTATGCATCTGTCTTTATGCAAATCTGATTGCCCTAATTGTATTTCTTAGAAATAAATCATGCTGTCTTATGTTTACTCTCGTTTTTATAATTCACATAACTAACTTTATGAATATTATTCTCTGTGTGTGACCCTCCTAAAACTTTCTTATTACTTCCTCAGGGACTGCAATGCACAGCTGGGAGACACTGACCCAGAGCAAAGGCTAAAAAGCCAGCAGTTAAGCAACACTCTTGGGTCAGGAGACAAGATTCCATGCTTCTTTTTGCTGCCAGTTTTACAGGAATAGAACAGAGAGAGAGATCTATCTTCTGGTGACTCCAAGTATTGCAGAAGCATGTATCAGCAGCTAGCTGTGACAATCCTGTACATAAATGAAACATTCAAGCTTAACAACTCTGTTTATTTACTTGGATTCCAAACTCCCAGGGAATGATGACTTTCAAGCTGCTGTCACATGTTTTACAAAAAAAGTAACAATACCACAATATCAGGGACAGTTGCCACTTACAATACAATGCATTGATTTTATAACATAAAATTATAACATAAGAAAATCTCCTTTAATAGTCAGTCCAACAGCATCACAGGCTACTTTAAAAGCAACCACGTTTTACTGTAGCTACACGGTACCTTCAAACTTCTCACACAAACTGCCAAAGACAGCTTCATGAAAACAAAGTCATAATGTGTAATTTGACTGATAGAAAGAGGTAATGTTTTAAGAAAAGAGCAGCATTCACTCTGTGAAGAAAATTCAGAAGTTACAAAAAGGGGCCAAATCCCCAACTTGATTTGAATCTTTAAATCCTTGGTTCATAAAAAAAAGCTTAATTCAGCTCCTGCTGTTGTTTTACATTCTATTGCCATTACTCAAGAGAAGACAAATTTTCATCTCAGAAATGGAGCACAAATAGTTCTTGGAAAAAATTCTAGCCTTAGCCATTCTTATTTAGGTTTCCACACTTACCACTGCTCCACCACTTCTTGCCATTGATCACGTAGCTGTTCCCATCTCGCTCAATGGTGCATTGCATATTGGTGGCATCACTGGAAGCCACATCAGGTTCTGCGTTAAAAGGAAAAAACAAACCACTAGATTAAATATAAAGGTAATACAACCTCCACAAATATAGGGCTCTAGATATACCCTATTAAAAGTACACTGCTTTGCTACCAGTAGAAAAACACTTTGAAGACCCTTGCTGGCTGTTGTTTTCCAACAATCTGTTATTTACAGCCAGTTTAAATATATTTGTTCTTTGGCTTGGACCACCCTTTGCAATCATCATTCTTCCTTTCCTTCTCTTTTAAAATCCTTTATCTTTCCATTGTACTTACAGGTAACAGTTAGTTATATATCTCCTCAGCCTGTTTTCTCCTCCTGAGTTCTTCCCAAGCAAAAATAGAAACGGAAAATAATTTTGTGGAAGGTTAAGCTCTATTGTAAAGCTGTTTGGTACTAAAAACTGTGTTTTATTTATTATTTGTATAGTAAATAAGTACATTGTATTTACTTATTTATTTGTATAGTACAAAAATTAAACTAAAAATATATAGAAAGCAAATACTAATTATTGTAACCATGAAAATTGGCAACTACCAGGAAAGGCAGCAAGGCTGCTCCAGTTTGCATTCACACCTCAGAGATTATTTTATATTCAAGCACATTCACTGATACTGAATTAGCACAGAAATGTCCACTGTAACACACAACTTGCAGTTTTCTACTTTTCCCTGCGTACACCACATGAAGTTTAAAACAATTGGCTCTAACTTTCTTCTGGAGAAAACTTACCTGTCATGCAGAAGCAAGAACTAATTTTCCCTTCAAGGAGAGGCTCCAGCCACTCTTTCTTTTGCTCTTCAGTGCCATACATGTGGAGGACCTCCATGTTCCCTGTGTCTGTAAGAAATCAGCTGTCATGTTTACTGCTCGAGACACACAGACTGTAAAGTGTAAGACACCCAACTTTTTAATGCTCCAGTGCCATAGTTTTGGGACTGAACCAGAGTTGCTAACCTGGTGCATGGCAGTTGAAAACCTCAGGAGCAATAAGGCATCTCCCTGTCTCCTCAGCTATTAGGGCATAATCAAGCTGGCTGAGACCACTGACATCTGGGAGGAAAAGGTTCCACAGACCTTCTGCTTTGGCCAATTCCTATCGCAAGAATCAACAGAAAAAACATCAGCAATAAGTAATAAAAAAAAAATTAAACTCTGGTTTGCAACATGCTCCTGCCTACCTTACTGTCCAATACATATGATGCTTTTTTCAATAGCTATTCTGAAATTGTAGGCTCAGTCTTTGATTTAAAGTTCAGATATACCCCTCTCAGACCTCATTTTGTTTTTCTTCTCTCTCATTTGTTTTCTCACTTTTTCTATACTTCTCTCTTCCTTTCTTTTCACTGCTCCTCACAATTGTTTTTTTCATGTTCCTCACATTGTTTCTTTCATGTAAAGTAACTTCTCCAACAGGATACACCAATCACTCTTATACGCTGTGTCTGTGCTCTTTTACTGCTAGAGTGCTAGAAATATTTGTTATCCCATACCTTTAGCCTCTCCAGCAGCGGTGGTTTCTTCCATTTGTCCTCAGCATGTCTATGTTCAGTATAATATTTTATTATTTCCTTAGAGAAACAAAAGGTGCTGTTTAAATTAAGAACACACGTAACACATAAATAATAATACATCTCTTCCAGATCTATGATCCAAGGAACCAAGTAAAAAATATTGAACACAGGTTTACATTATATAGTTGGCTGCATTATAAAATTAAATATATAATTGACAGTTTAAGTGCAAGTTGAAGTTCTATTCATTTTGCAAGACTTTAAATATCATTACTCCAATCAGTATATGAACTATTTGGGATGGTTTAAAGTACATGATGCTTGCCTAGGAGGTCAGTATTTTCTGGAGATAAAAGTACCTATTACCAACAGTATACACAAGAGGCACAAACTCAAAAGTAAAACAACAAAAAAAAAGCCTGATGTACTAACAGTTAAGAATCAGACAGATAACCCAGCTAATCTTTCAGATAACCCAGCTAATCTTTTGTTAACTGTCAGAAAAAAAAAAAAAAAAAAAACAACAACAAAAAAAGCATTTTCTCTTCCTATCAAAATAATTCCTTAACAGATAACATAAGCAGTCGTTCCAAACTCCAGTCCTTAGTTTTAAGTGAATCTTTATATTCAGTAATCTTAGTATTTTAATAAACATGCTTTAGTGAGACACAGAACTTCAAATCTGGCCCAGACCTAGTTATAAAATGAATAAAAGTAGTGCCCCATTATGAAAATGACACAATAAAGACAAATGGCCAAGTAGAATTTACAAGTCCTGATTCACAATCCCTGTAACCAGAAATAACATCCAAGCACAACACAACTCATCTGAAAAACTTGCATGGCTATTTGTGGTTTGTTTGTTTTTTAAAGCAAATACTTCTGTTATTGCAAGGCTTTCTTGGAGAATCTGAAACTACAATCCCAACTCAGTCACAGACATACTTTTAAAGAAACTTTGCATATCAAGAGTTACTACCGTTGACCCCTCCTTGTAGTAGATGTAGTCATTAAACTTTTAGATTAAGATGTTTTCTGCATTTCTGCCTGACTCGGAAAAAAATCAGAAAGTCAAAACAAAAAAATACTGCATCAAAAGCCATCTGTACTTCCATGAGGCTAAAAGCTGAACCAACTTTCTAAGTGGAAATTCCTAACCTTCCTAGGATATGAAGTAAACTACTTCATCTAATTTTCCCTTCCGCTAACTATGGACTTCATGTATATCTCAAACATTCATTGGTATTAGATATATTCAGGAATGATACATTATGCAATCCCATTTTTGTCACAGCCTAAAAAGCAAGAAACAGAAAAATTCAGCTTCATACAGTTAAAATCAGCAGTTTCTATTTTTAATTAGGTGTGTTTTAGTTCAGTATGTAAGAGTTCTAGGTTGTTCTTAGTCTAACAAGTATCTTGGCAATTTTCTTTAAAAAGCAACTCTTTCCAAAAATAGAAGGTTTTGAA